TTTGTAATTTACATCTTGTAAGCTTAAAGTATATGCTTATTTAATTATACTTATTAATGATTTTGTAAGTTGCATTCCTTTTTATATACAAAATTATGTACCATTTATTTCTTTATTCTTGTGTAAACTGTAATCCTTTTTCTAAGTTATTATTTTTGTTGGCTATATTGATGTGTGTTGTCTTGAAAATAATAGTGTATAAGTAATTAGTGCTTAATATTTGATTTAATATCAAAGATTTAAGATTTTTTGTCTGTTATAAAAAGCAGTGTTTAATGCTGCCTCTGCTTCAGAAGATATCACCGAAATACAGAGTGTTTATCCTGTCCAATTGCCGTGTTTGAGTTTTAAACTGATAAGTATAAATGTGTCTTTTGGGACTAGTATGGTGATACCATTACTCACAAAGGCCTGTCAAGATCTGCAAGATGCCAAGGAGCTGGAGTGGAAATTTAGGAAGCTTACGAGTCCCAAATGCCATTTCATTCTGAGAACAAGAAAATCCTTTTCCTTAAAAGCTGCTTTTGTGAAATCTTTCTGAAAGTAATCTACTTGTGGAGTCTTTTCAGGGAGAAGGAGCATTGCTTTACATCAACTAAGATATTATAATCATATCTGACATAAGTTACAAATGAGAGTGTCCTGTGAGAGACTACAGCAACGCAACACATGCATAAAAAGCATATTGCATTGGTGTTTCTTTTCAAGCTCAGCCAAAGCCAAACTATGTCAGGGTATCAGGGCACACAATTCTCACAGTGTAACAAAGAAAATCAGAGTATGATTGAAATTCCTGTCTATGAGCGTTTGACACCTGACAAGTTCCATAGGAGGGCGTCTGAGGAGAGACCCAGTCTCCTAAGATTTCTGCTTTGCAGTGTCTGATGATCGTGCCCGTGTGGCGGAAAGAAAATCGGAATTGCTGGGAAGCCGTGAGACCTCTCAGCGAGCACCAGAATTCTTTGCTCGTCTTTGGGTTTCAGAAGGGGAGGGGGCGGGGGCGAGACTCGAACAGGGCTCTACCAACGTTGAGATAAGAAGCAAGAAAGTATATGACATGAAATTCGTTTTTTTTTTCCCGTTTCATTTTAAACATTCCATTTTCTAACACAACCTTAGCTTTCCAAATAAAAGAAAAGCATTTAAATGGTGAAATGCATCCTTTTAAGATCCCCAAGGTAACGTGTTTGAACCTTATTGTGTAATCTGTTTATTTGAACTGATATAATCTGTCAAAGGCTTTCAAGGCAGCTGGTAGCAGATTTTTGTCAGCTGCGGAACAGAATGAGTGGAAGATGGCAGATTACAGAGTTCAAGGTTGTGGTTACATATTATGATGGTACTGACGACTCTTTCACAGAATAGGCTTAGACAAGCACTGCCGTCATGATGCTTTACTCCTCATAGATAATATATTTCCATTTCCAATTTCTTACATGTTGCTCAGGTCTGGGTTTGGAGTTCATTCCTTGTTATTTCATCAGTCAACTGCACTTCTTTATGTTAAAATTTTATGTCTACTTGAACAGGATGGTTTATTGTTTGCTTAGTGTACATTTTACTTTACTTTGAAACTTAGTCTAGTGTAAGAAATCCTGTTTTAGGTATTTATCATATTTAAAGTTATGGTACTTTTTTACCCTCTGTCAATCAATCATTTCTGTTTACGATTCGAACATACTTTTCAAACTTAATCTTTAACTTAAAGCAAGACCCATAAACCTTAGAAAAAATAAGTTCTTATTTTTGGCAACATTTTTTTTACATATTGCAGTGCAGCAAACAAAACGGTATAAAGCCCTTGTAATTTAGCCTCACAGAAACGATCAATATATAATAACTAATTTAGTGGTCCCTAAAGATTTTCATATATTAAAGTTCCTTTTATTGAAGATAAACATTTGAAAGCAATCTGAAAGCAAAACAATTTAATTATCACATCTGAGAATTTATTATTCCACATTTTGGGATGCACAATTTATTTTTTAATAATAAACACTTTGTAATAAAAATGTGCTACTTCCAAGACAGAACTCCTACCTACAGTGAATTTGAAACTGATAGATCATGTTTTAAAGTTGTCCCTTATTATTATTTCCTAATGTAATCTAACATGTAATTGTGTACATATACAGTACCATGTAACATATAACTATTCAAGTACAAGTGATTTGAATAACCAATTTAGCTTGTGATACAGATATACAAGGTTTGCATCCAGCAGCTAAAAATATGATGGTGAGTTCTTCATGAATTATTTTTAGACTATATACTGTTTTGTATTTTTATTTCTAATGGAGTTTACTGATACATGTAAAACCATGTATCATCTTCTACTTCTACAACAAAAAACCTGTACATATGGATAAGAATTCTAAGGTAGAACAGGTCTTTAAAATAATCCATCCCATGTCAACAGTGTGTCAGTTTCCAGCGCTGTAAACCATGATCTCTGTAACTTTTATCGTAAATCCCCAAGCTAGTGAAATGCACATACTGTGGTAAATGCAGCTAGTGTTGAAACCACATTATTTCCAGCCACAAATTTTAAAAAAGGAAGAAAGAGAACGTTTTGGCTGTAGAGCCCTCTTCAGGTGTGTTTAGGAATGGGGGAAGGGAGCAGGAATATGTGTAACAGAATGCAAAATGGACAAAGGAGAAGGCTTATATGAGAATTGGTAAGAGGAGGTAAAAGTGTAGGGGTCTGGCTAAAGAGACAGAAATTCGGGTGGCAAATTCCACGAGGAAGTGTAAAAAGCATGAAGCTCTTAGTGAATGGAGAGATTGACGAAAATCATTGAATTCTGCAGGAAGCTGTAATTTAAGGAAAATTTGGGGTTCTGATGTCATTCTGGATTAGCAGTCGCAGCTTCTTCAGTTCACTGCTCTGACATGTTCCTAGGAAGTGCTGAACAGTCTTCTCCCTGTTGTGCCAAAGTTATATGGCAGTACGGCAAGCTACTTTCTCTGAGAGTTTCAATAATTGAAATTGCTGGACAAGCTTGATGCCCTCTGGGTGATCTTGGAATGGCCAGAGGCTTTGTGTATACAGTATGTGTTCTAGTGGATGTGTATTTTTGCAATTCATATGACAACTTCTAATGCATCCAAACGCACATGGTGTGGATGGCAGCTGTGAGAAACAGAGAGGATCTGCAATCTCTCAAAACAGAGAGCAAGCTTGTGCATTTTTGTTTTAGGACTTTCCATGTTATTTTAATGGTTAAACCTGAAACATCCTTGGTGCATATATTTGTTGATAAACTGTACTTCAGAAGGGATTAAATGTTAGGATGTTCCTAGAATGATTTTCTAGTTGTCTCTCCCAAAGTGATTCAGTGGCTTTAAGTAGTAAGCCAAAAGCATTTGTTAGCTTCTGTCTTCTTACTGTATATTTGGGTGATTCATCATCTGTGTGATGCACAGCGGCCCACTGCTGTCCCAGCATTCCATTTCAGATAAACACCCTGTCCTGGCAACATGAACACTGTATGGGCTTAACTTTGGGAGAAACATATACCACTCTCAATTAAAATTAGAAAATATCCTATTTTCAGAAAAATCTTCGGTTTCCAGTGCATGCGTATTGTGTTCTAAAGCCCTCTGTGAGTAATTTATTACTTGCGATTCAGCTTCCAATATAATCCCCTTCGGTTCGGTTGCTTTGGTTACCATGGAAGAGGCAGGGGAGCCATATCATGGGCTGCAAGAACACTTCCCACAGAACTGTTTCCTTAAGAGATACTGTAGGTCTCAGATTCATATTCCTGTCATCTGATGTGTTCTGGGGCCAAGCAATTTATTTTTTTAATATTCTGTTTTAGTGCCTTCAAAGCTTTTTCATTATCAACGCTGCCCTAAAAAAAGTTGGATCTGTTGGCGCTATGTACGCCGCCAATATTTTGCTTGATCTATATAGGCTTTCGTGGGTGGCATTCTGCATTAATGGTCAGTAAGGTTCTAGCATTTTATTAGATCATGACTATTGAAATTACAAAGAAAAATCACCTGCTTTGTGTTTTTAGCAAAAAAAATGAAAATTAAATAAAATTGATTTTTGCTAGATCTATCATACCTCCAGAATTTTTTTTTTACTGAGTTTTTCCATTAAGCTAAGGTAAAGACTTGGTTGTTTCAGATTTGAAAGTAATTTATTACAGTTTAAAAATTAATTTATTGCAGCATCTAAAACACTCTTTCAGCACTTATCTTGTCATGCAATTGATTACTCCTAAAGCACAGTAAAGCACATGATTTATGTACCCAGTGCAAATAGCATCCATTCATTATATACAAAATAGGCTCATTCAAACCAGTAGGTATGAAGACGCATCAATATAGGGATTGTAGACTCTGCCTGAGGTTATACATGGAAAAGATTTTCTGTGATGTTTTTCAATTTGGAAAGACCCCCACGTAAATTTGTAAACGTACAATACTGTAGTATGCATAATGTGGAATGCTTCTTAAAACATTATTTCATTAACTTGCCTTTGTTCATGATTAAAGACTTCTTTTTGTATAGATTAATAAATGATACGTGTTAAATATACCCGTATAATAAGTCGGAGGATGCAATTAGCATTCAGCAAACTGTGATCTTCAAAGCTGCTGCTCTCCACAGATTGTGTTCTCTCGGATTGAAGGAAATAATAAAAGCTCAGCACAACTGTAGAAGGATGTTGATGAGGCAGCAGATAGTTTTCTGTGTTATGTGCTACCATTCCATATTGATTCCCATTGACAAATTCTTCCGTTGCACACAGTGGAGCAGTTCAGATGGCAGCACATCTTCCCAGATGTTCCTAATTTTCATGCATGATCACTTGAGTTTTCGAGCTGCAAGCACAATAGCCCATAATATGGGTTATGAGTGATTTACAGCCTGACCTTGGATAGGAGTTTTGCAGATTGCTTGTTGTTTTGTACATTGAAGGGTGCATGTTCTGTGGTAGCTGGAGAAAAAGAAAATATATTTTTTCCCAATGTTCTTTCCTTAGGAATTCCAGAAAAGAATTAAATGACATCCGATTTGAATTTACTCCAGGGAGAGGTAAGCTAATTCTGGATTATCAATCAACTAAAATAATGTGGTTTGATGTTTCTAGCCTTTGCATGTGTTGTGGGTTTGATTTGTATATCATTTTGCATTGCAATGCAGTTGTATGTAATATTGGGAGATTCTGATAAGGAAAGTATTTTCCAAAAACAACACTCAAAGAGCATAATTGAGTTGCTGGTCTCAAATTACAAATCCAGAATTTGAAAGGAATTCTGTCAGTTATGATAGAAAATACATGCACTGAGCATCAAAAGAAATGCACCACGCTGTTTATGCAGGTATGTTTTTTAGAGGGATAAAGAATACAGATTTTGTGCAGTGATGAAATGTTTTTGTTGTCATTGTGACTCTTTGACTGCCTGTGATGCCGTGAGAGACTCCAGTGGCTTTGGCTGTTTCATAAACAGATCAGCTCATTAGTGAAAGAGTTGACTGGGCAAAGGTGATGAAGTGATTTATCTTGTTGAATATGAACCCTGATGATAATCGAGAACAAAAAAAAACAACAACAACTAAGGAACCAATGTGCCCCACGTTTCGAGAGAATTATATCATTTCAATATATTGGAGCAACACCTCAGGTGAACTCGACAGCCGCTTCCTCTGAAGTGATGAGTCAAGGTTTTGTGTAGCCGATCCTGACAGCTGTCCACAAGTCCAGTACAGATGAGCAGAACAGAATACTAATTGTTGAGTTATAGGGTGGTCCAGGTGTGATTGCAGTGATTAATGGGAACTTGACTGGATGGCACTACAATGATCAAGTCCCGAGCCCTCACTCACTTTTCCTCTGAGCTCATCCTGGAATGACAACATTCCAGCTGGGCAAGGCATGATCTCATGGTTTCCTGCAAGACTGCGATGCCTCGGCTGCCCTGATTGCCAAGCCTGAGCCCAGTTGAACATTTGGGATGAGCCAGACAATGTGTGGCATGTAGGGCCCAGAGACCGATGAAGAGGCAAATGATTGTTCAGACTCTATGGAATGAAATGAATGAGACCACATCTCACAAGACATCATCTGCAGTCTGGTGCAAATCATGCTTCCCACATGTACTCATTGTTTCCATTGATGACTACACACACACACTAATTACTTTTTTTCACCAAAGCACTTAATCGGCATAATGAATTTGCCAATGTCATGTCCGTTGTATACAATGTCATTATACCTGCTTCAGAAAATATTTCCCACTGGTAACTATATGAATTTGCTACAGTTCTAAATGATAAGTTTCTTTTGACGCTTAGTGGATGCACATTAATCTGTATCATAACCCCTAAATAACTGTTCAAGTGTAAAATGAAAATGTGATTAAATCAACTAACCCGTACAACTTGTCTCTTCAAAGTGCATTTTTTAAATGGGAGTCAGTGTTCTGAACCTTTATCATAATTTCCTAATTTTCCCAATTGTTTGTGAAGACACTGCTGATGGAGTATCCCAGGAGCTGTTCTCTGCTGGCCTGGTTGATGGACATGATGTAGTTATAGGTAAATTAATCTCTCTTGATATATTTGAATTTAGCTTATGTCTCCATTTTTCCATAAACTGAATATTAAGTCCAATGTAAGTGTAATGTCTTTAATAAATGCTGTATTTATTTTAAAAATATATATATTTTTTCACTTTTCAGTTGCTGCTAACTTACAGAAGATTGTAGATGATCCAGTCACCTACAAAGTATTGACTTTTAAATTGGTGAGAACTCTAAAGATTAATGTATACAGAACATACAGCATGTGTGAAGCCAGTGAAATGTCTATGAAATATGTAAAATAATTCAGGTGGGTAGCTGCGTCAGCATGCGTAGGCTGCAAAGGAACAAGTAATAGGTTTATTCCATGCTGAAAAAAAGAAGAAAGAGAACACAATGTTTCAGCCATGGAGCCTTCTTCAGGTGACACCTGTTGTGTTCTCTTTCTTCTTTTTTTTCAGCATGGAATAAACCTATTACTTGTTCCTATGTAAAATAATGTTTTGATCCTTTACCTCAGCAGTGCTGCTAAAACCGCAATATTTTATTTTGTTCTAGTTTAATGAAAACTTTACATTGCAGAGTAAAATTCCAATGCACATATTTGAATGTGATCTAAATACTAAGCTGTACAGTATAAACACAATTAATCCTTATCATTTTTTTCAAATCATAGACTTGACTTCTTTTACTAAAAGGCCATTGATATTCTAAGATTCATGCAGACTACATTGAAATCTTTTTGAAAAGGAGATTGAATCTTGATACAAAAATATATTAATTTATTTAAAAGTTCCAAAATGTTTTGATGTGATGCTGAGGGCTAATTCAATTATCAGTCAGGACAAGTTTATTTTTTAACATTGTTGAATGTGCACGTTTGATATTTTATTAAAAACTTTATCAAAGGCCTAAATATTGAAATATTCCCCATTGCTTTTGCTTGTTCACAAAGCAAGCTACCTTTTCTAAATCCGTGCTGACTGTTGTCTAGAGTCATACTGCCATACAGATTATCTTCTATTTACTTACTATTTACTGCTTACATAACCTTACATATAATAGGTCAAACACATACTGGTTTTGGGTTTGTTTTGTCACCCTTTTCTGACTAAAGTTTACACTCTAAAGTGTCTTATGTGACTGGTGGAAGAGTTTTTTTATTGACTGAATTGATTCCCTGAATTGAATTGATAGTAAACTGAGAGGCCAGCCTTGGAGATTTGTACTTTATACCTATAACCCTTGGAGACCTGAGTGCATATACTGTACAGTAACATATGTGCCTCTTGATGATGAACTTAATCCTCTACTGTTATCTTCCTGTGGTAGAACAGAAATAATACTTTTATTATTTAGTTTTGCTTCCATTGCAGTCTTCTTTTCAATCTCAAAACAGAGATAGCACTAGAGATTAGATAGCTAATCTCTAATATCCTCTATACCTTTGTTTACAATTCATTTAATTTCATATATATTTCATACTGTATGTGTAGTATAAATCTCCTAATAATACTTTTTTAAATTTATGAAGTTCCTTCTCCTTTCTTTAATAATACTTAAACCATTTGGGGCACTGTGTTTCCACCAAGATTTTCTTAGTTATGGTATTGATCTGTTCTGATTAATATATGAATATAATTGTATGCACTGTAGTAGGTTCCTAACACTTTGGCTTTTGAATGGCTTTTTAACTGACCCATATTCTGCGGTATCTGAGATCCTTGATGCTTCTATGTTCCTGTGCCTGCATGCTCTTTTGCTGTACAGTGCTCCACCTCTCCCTGTTCGAACTTTCCTTTCTCTCTGTAATGCTGAGTTCCCATTGATATTGTGCTCTGTACCATCACTCTCCATTAGCCATGTATCAGTGGTTCCAATTACATCATAAGTGCATGTTAATGCGCTTGCTTCTATTTTTTGCATTTTATTTCTAATAGTCCAAGGTTGCTTTAAGCACTTCATCACTTGGACATTGTTTTATATTTACATTTTCCTCAGGGTTATATTTTTGACCTTATTCCCTGTGTATCTTCATCACAGAGTTTCACTAGATTCTCCCACCTTCCAGTGTAGTTGAAATGTTTTTGAAGTCCTCTGTAGATCCTTGCCCCTAGCCAGCCGGTGCTCATCATCAGAAGGTTTTCAGTGCACAAGAACGCTGAAGCATTCCTCACCACTCCATGTGCTTAACCATGTGTTTTGTTTACACATTAACATTTGCAATCCTTCACCTTTGCATGATGAAGCAATGAAGGCACGGTCCATCAGTGGATCAGTGCTTTGCCCTGCTCTTCAGCTGGTTTCTAAGTTCTTTCAATTTATGTTAAAGCAAACTGTTGCACTTGCAGTCTTGCAAAAATCAATTCCCTTCTTTGTGAAGTAGATGATTTATAATATTTTAACAAGTGGATTTATTTCACTGAAGGTCGGGGTGCCAATTGCAATCGATTAATGCCTGTGGTCTCAGAAAGTTGAAGCTTCCTAATGTCCGAATATATAGGGAGAGAAGGGAAGCTCTAAGCAAAATCAGTTTTTTTCTCAAGATAACTCATCGGTTTTCCACAAGAAAACTGCTGCTATAAAAGGACACAAGGGAAAAGCATGATTTGGCTTTAAGTTCAATAATAAATTGTTGTGTACTGATGCACAGATGTCATGCTGTGGTGTTACTAGGGTACTTTAAAACTGAAAGGGAATATTGATTGGTCTTTAAAGACCCTAAATCCAATGCATTAAATGCATGTTACTACCAACAGGATATAGTCATACTGTGCTCTATCATTAGGCCAACAGTTAAAGTAATGCATTCATCCCCTTTCCATAATATATTATTCATATAATTTGTGAATCAGGATGTTTGTCAACTAAAGGATAGCTGATAGCTTCAGCACTTCTCCATCATCACATACCTGTATAATATTTACATTTTCATAATGCAAAGATCAGATGAGTGCTGCAAAAATCACGCAGTGCTATAATTCACATTTTAATCAAGAAATTATTTTGAAGATCAGAACAATAGAGGATAAAAGTAAAAAATTACATGGGGGTTTTTTACTTTTTTAGTCGCTTATTATGAACAGGGCCTGACACAACTCTTGAGCTTGCTCCTCCTAAGTTTGAAGTGTCATTATAAGAAAAGGGCTTTTTTTGGCCATTTAGTTTCACACAAGAGATAGATGGATGACTACAAGACAGGGATTTCTTATAATTCATCTTGCAGAAGTATACATAGCTTTCTTTGAGACGAGCAGATGTTTAAATCATGATGAATAATTAGCTACTCTGCAAGTCAAAATTTAATCTTCATTAATTCCATGTAGCTTTCGCTATGCTTTGCAAATGCTGCGACATACCTTGTCATAACATTTATTTGGAGAAAAAGTTACCATTCCTCAAGGCATTTAAAACAGCTTTGCAGTCTGAATCTGAAGAAGGAGGAAGATAAACTCATGAGTCCTTTAGATTCAATTGACCAGTTTTCTTGTATTTGGAACATTTCCAAAGCACGTCTGCAAGAATATCTCTCATTTATTACCAGACCAAGGTACCACGAAGGCAAATGTTTTATGAGTCAACAGAATACTTCCATCCTCTTATCATCCATAATTACTTTATTTCCAGAGTACAGGTTGAAGGTTGTAGGTGCGTACTGTACATAAGAGGAGTATTTAAAAAAAAAAATGAGATTGCTTGTAACGTCAATAGAATTTAATTTCTTCATAAATTCAAATATCTCAGTTTAATTAAGATTTATAATGATACAATGCTATACTGCCCCAATTAATAGTCTGTGAACTTCTAAACAAGGAATGTTTTCCATTGTCGCATGAAGCCTGTATTTTTAAAATCCTCGAAATGCCTCAGTGAAATTGTTGAATGTAGCTGCCAAGTACTCCGTAAAGTGGTGCCAAAATATGTACTTCTGTGGTTTGAAACGCAGCTCCCACAAAACCTTAGGTTTTAAGAAAGAGTCCTAATATATGATGGTTGTGCGATGGCCAAAGATATGAGAATTAACTTGCAGTGTGTATCTTCCTGTATAACCTAATAAACTCTCCCTCTGTCTGCTTCTCAGGCATCTGGCTGTGATGGCAGTGAAATGCCGGATGAAGTCAAATTGATCGGGTTTGCCCAGCTGAGTGTCAGCTGATGCCGTCTTATTGCCCGGTCTAAGCAAATGCTAGGATCAAATGGTAGGATGCAAGAGAGATGGAGACAGAGGAAGCACATTGCACAGGATTCTGCTTCATTTCCTAGCCTTTCACAGGACCCAGCACCCACTGCTTGCCTCTTCCTCCAACACTGCTGCTAATATCCAAGAGAGCATTTATACAACTCCGGAGAAACACTTGAGAATCCATCCACAACACAAAGTACAAGAATTAAAAAAATGTACTCAGGTGGTAATATTTATTGATATTAAGTAGCCTATTTTATTTTTTACCGTTACCTCTGCTTTTGGCATAGCTTTTTTGATGCTGTTCAAATAATTTATTGAATAAAGTATGTCTTTCTTTGTTGAAATGTTCTCAAAATAAAACAATAGCTTTCATTGATGTGTGTATTAAGGACCAGCGGATTGACAGGAAAGTTATTTTCTAGGTCCAATGTTTGCCATGTTCAAAATGTAAAATATCCATTATTTATGTAATGCTTATTTGACAATGAATAGCATTCTTATAATTGTTATTGAATTAATGTACTGTATATAGAAGGAAGAGTTCCAAGTTGGAGACTGAAAGTATGGCTGAGATTTTGGCGAGTCTGTGTTTGTCGCTTCAACGGAGGTCAGTGTTGATGCTGTAAGATGTTGGAGGTGCCTTCTTAATTTTATCTTTAAAATGTGCCTGCGAACGTAGTTAATGAACACTGATAAACATCAGTATGAAATGTCAACAGCAGTTGTTGTTTTTTCAAGTGCCACAGGATTGCAGTGACATTTATATTTCTGCAGAGATTGTTTAAAGAGCGTGTATTCACAGTTATTGGTGATCCTTTAGACTGAAGTTGCAATGCACTTTCAGACAGACAAGTTAATGTCTTGTCCTGTTGGATTAAATTTTGAGTTTAGTATGTTTACTATATTACTGATGAAAAAGGTTATCTAAAGCATAATAGAATTAATAATACTCTTCTCTAAAAGTCTTGAAGAGGCTTAAATATTAATACACAAGCTTCTTGTTTTGTCTAAATGCACTGCAAGACTAGAGTTGTTTTTCAAAGATATACAAGATGTTAAAGGTATCAGCAGACCTAACCTGAAAGGCATTCATAAAGGTATGATTAACAATTTACTTGTACGATTTATAAGTACGATAGTTCTCAATGCCACTGATCATATTTTAAGTGGTTTATAATGTAACTGTACTGGATCCATATGGTTATTGTGTGTTCTATATACAGTATGTATTTCATTTCAGCATATTTACTCTGTTAAATTTAATTCAGCGGCAAAACTAAACTGTCTGCAAAAGAGCAAGAAAATAAATTACTGCTGAACTGGTGTGTCACTTTTATTGTTTTTAGATTTAATACGAACAAATTTAACATACTTGTTGAACACAATAAATCCGTTTCTGGTTCAATGTTTTAAAGCTCTCCAACAGAGATGTTGTCAAATCTAATTCTCTCTAATCTCAAGTCCAGCCAAGTGAAAGTGGCAATGACAAATTCACAGTATGCAATTGAAGAACTGATATATTTGTAGAGTAGTGACGCAGTCCCCATAGGTGGGCTGATCAATTTCAAAAAATCACACAGATTTTCAGTCTGTTTTTTAATTTTTTTTTAAAGTGGTACTTACCAAAACAGCAGAGATGTATTAAGAATGCATTAAGAGAAATAAATGAATTAATTGGTTCACCTTTTGGTTGATCTTTTAATACCGATCACACAATTTTTAGCTCTTGGCTAAATTAAAAGCAGTGTCCATTTGCATGTGGTTAAAAAAATTGTAGTCATCACTGCAGAAATACCACAAGTCCAACTGTGAGAACTGCAGCTGAGGCTTTATTCAGGTCCATAAACAGCATTGGGTAAACAAAGGGAATACAAAATTGGTATTTTTCTCCCACTGTTGCAAATCAGTGGTATGTAACAACCAGTAATAAGTAATTATATATCCACATTTTATCTTACTGTGTCTTCATTTTTCTTCAGCTGCAGCTTCCATTGAAACATAATTATAGAAAAAGTATGGAAACATGAAAAATGGGTATGTAACACAAATGTGCTTGATTAAAATATTTTGGTAAGAATTAAGTGTTCATATTGGACTGTGCTATTTTGGTATAGTAAAATGTGACTGGTTCTACTGAATTAGCTACTGAAATAAGCTGCAAGGGCTGAATTGCCTGCTCATGTTTGTACTGTAACTGTTCTTATTTTGCTGGTCATACAACACATTAGAAAGTGCTGTGCCATACCAGCTCAAAACTGTGATGCTACTACAGTTTTAAAAATGGCTTGTATGACACCTGGTTGGCAAGATGAGAGCGATCAAGGTGTTAATTAAACAAGGGTGCTCCCATTGTCAGATTGCAGCCAAGCTCCGTGTTTCGCCCGGAGCTGGATCTAAGTTCTCATTGGAGCTTTTCTTGTGTAAAGAGCAATGTTCAATTGCAAAACAAACCACACTAATGTGGGCAGTTTCTGGTGGAGCGCTCCAGCTCACTGCATCTTCATTGCCCTGTTTCTCACCTTATTCCAGTCCTCCTATTCACTGCTTTCGAACAAGCTGTCCCATTCTCTGTTGTCCATTCCACACATTTTTAACAGGGGCTCCTTGTTCCAGTAGCTCTGTCATTGAAGAACTCTGCATCGGTGTTTGGGGGACCCTCTGTTTTTTGGAGTTTGTGAGAGGTCTGACCTCATATCTGTTTTTTCATGTGCCAGACGAGTTACTGCCAAATAATGATGTATTACGAATGCTATGCCTTTACATTCATCAGCTCATTTGTTCCAGTAAGAATTTGACCGAACTACTGAATAGTGAAAAGGCACATCTGGATTTTGCATATGGAGATATATCAACCCTTTGCTATATTCATTGTTTTACAGGATTGTCCTATGTGCATTCATTCCATTGCAACCAGCTCTTGTTATTTGGCGTTTCAGTACATTGAAGCAAATGGAGTCTAAGGCTGACATGTTGCCCTCAACATCACAAAATATTTCACACATATTATAGGCTTTTAAAAGACCTTCTTGAATTTGGCAGAAGCTCATGTGTGGCTTCTATGCTGTTATATTTTTCACCGTTCCAGTAGAGTAGTCAAAATATAACAATGGTGGTATTGTTGTTGTCATGCTGAATAAAACAGCAGAGCAAAGATAATGTCAAAATGATCATTATTGCTGGTCTCTTTACTGTGCTGAAAATACTTTATACACAGACATGCACTCAGTACAGTGCAGTCACATACTTCAGCACACAAGAGGCTTGGAACAGAAAATGATTTAGTCCCTGGGAGCAGGAGAGTGGGAGAAAGCCATAACCCCTGCACTGCAAACAAACGTTGCAATGTAGTGTTCTTGTTAAATTTTGTTCCAGCCATTTTGTTGTAAAAAGGTGTTGTGTAAGATGTGTACAGTACATGGGTGTAGAATATATTCTCTCAAATTGCAAGGATTTCGAAAACGTCTCCAACACAAAACATAACATTACACTTTATTATTAAGACATATTTGTGCCGGGATCACCAGTTGTACTGGTGTTTCACCTCACTGAGGCGATACAAAAAGGCTCTAGCAATCAGGTTTTCAGGATAATTCATTCCCCTCGCTAACAAAGTATTTCAGTATACTAGGTTTTTTTTTTTGCAATGTGTGGGTTACTACAGAAGAGGATTATAATTACCAATTATTTTTTCTAAGTTTGTAATGCTAGCACTGTGTGGGCAGGTGTTTAAGACTTATTAGGAATTCACAAACCTTGCTGGGCTCTGTGACTGTGGCAAAGTAATTGCTGTTCTTTCCATCTTCAGGTAGACAGAGTTTAAAACACAGCGTTTTACTGTTTCCATAACATAACGTGGCAGCTCGGCTGAAAAACGGGAAGGAAAAAAAATGCACACAGCTACAGTATAAAAGCCAACTGGTACACAAAATAAAACAGCGGGGTATGAATACTTGAAACTGTTTCTGTGGAACTGCAAAGCAATTATAAAATATTCACAGCTGGAGGCACTAGGAATGACCATTAAACCAGTTCCTTTCCTTTGGGAGGGGGTGTTTATCAATCATGATAAAACTAGTGTCTGCTATCCTTCTTTGTCAGGAAATCATTGAGTCAGATTGAAGTTCTTTTCACTCTGTTTCTCTGTGGCATTTTTCTGTAAATATCAAGGTTTGCTTGATATTGTGTTCAACCTGCAATAAGCAGATGGATAACAAATTGCTGCTGTGTTGATATTGGAGGATTATGCCCAGTCTTTAGTGTTTTGTTCCCATGAATGTCGTGGAACTATGTGCCAGAATCTGATGCCAAGTCATTTTGTATTTACTCTGTAATTTTAACCCCACCACTGTTTTGTAATGATATGAATGAACAGCTTAGAACTTTGTGTTCAGAGCAAGGATTTCATAAAACATATTGTATACTGTATAAGGCAACAGCTGTGTTTTGTGGCTGTAGTTTCATCAGGGTTGTGCTGATCTTCAATTTTGTCAGTACAAGTTATTCAGGCCTCAAATGAATCCCCCAGACGTATACTGCCATCCAAAATGAGATATATTTTCAACACGTATCACGCTTCAGATATTCGTCAGAAAGGGTTTTTTTCTCCTCCAATAATGAAGGGAATTGCAGTTAATAGCTGACAGTTTCAAACAGATGGCACATGTAAGCGAAGGCACAGTCAGGCAAACATGGTAAAAAGAAACAAAAAATATCCGTACCTGCTGCTCAGAGGAACTCCTTGATGTATACAGAAGTTTTGAAGCCAGGAATAATATATGGTACTAATGACTTTCAGAACATTGGGAATACTTACATAGACTTGCCTCTTTTTCAAAGTACTGTAATTGGGTATTTTTTTTGCCTAACTGTACAACTGCCCTTTCTGCATATCCATTTGCAATGTTTTTTTATGGTTAAGTGGCAGTCACCCAATAAGGATAGAGTTTGTGTTTGTGAGTTGGTGTTAGGCCAGGGGTTCCATTCCAGCTGTGTTTGGAATGTTTTAATTGGCTAAATCCACTGGTTAATAAGGGAGAATTAACATGGTTTGCAGATGTAGGACTCCCCACAAGACCAGGGATCCAGACTCCTTGGTTAGTGTTCCTATGAGGTTAAGGGCCAAAGTTAGTACTAGGGTTCAGGGACAAGGTTGGTTTAGAATTAAATCTTAAGACTAAGTTTAGTGCATTGTACTTTAGGCTCCAGTTAGGGTTACTTCTGAATTTGTTTGTATAGCTACAGGTGGGTTAAGAATAGGTTTTGGTTTGGGGAAAAGATGTGTGCTTGTGTTTATGTTTTGTCAACCTCAGAATTTTATTTTTATGTGTTTTTTATGTGACTTTCAGCAACAGAATATTCCAGTGTTTTACATACACATTTTCTAGCTAATGGAGGTAAAGCTCTTATACAATCTGTATATACGGTAATGCTCAGTATGGTTTCAATTTTTTTATCCAATTATTCTCTCAATTACATATGAAAGCTATAGCTTCGTAATTTTAATGAACATACAAACTCCACACAGTTAGTACCCCAGGTTTATACTGTAATTGAATCAAGGGTTTCCTTCAGGTGCTTGGCTTTCCTCCCGCAGTCCAAAAACTTACTGGTAGGTTAACTGACATCTGGGAAGCTGATTGATTCTGGTGTGGATGTGTCGGTGTTTTTATCTTTGCGTGCCCTGCAATGGGCTGGTCTCCTGTCCAGGGTGTATTCTGCCCTGTGAATGTCTCTTGCTGGGACTGGCTGCTGTTCCTCCTTGACCCTGTATTGGATAAAGCTGTTAGAAAACAAAGGGATGGAAATGTGCATTAATTTAGCACATTTCTGTGGATTTTCCTTTGTATTCTTTTTTTCTTTCCAAATGGCCCTTCATGACAGATGCTGTTACTGGATTATTGTTAATTTATGAAACATTTCATACTTAATATGTAATAATTGCCCACTAGCTTTACTTGAGTGGTTTCAATCAGCCGTCTTTGCACATGCTTAACGACATTGCAAAAAAGCAGCCTGAAATGCAGGGCTAGTTGAATACTTTCCTCTTTACCGTCGTTGATTTGGATTGAGTGACAGGGCAGTATTTACTGGAAGTGATTTTGGAAATGGGAGGAGCAGCTCCAGCTCTGCACATGTGGGGGCTCCAGTGAGCCCAGCTGTGGCTAAGCTCTGCCTGTGCAGCATAGCTGAGTGAACAGCATGACAGGTCTCCCATTCCTGGAAACAGGGCTGGACACAGCGGAGACTGCCCAAAATGGTTACTTAATGCCCCAAATAGTAGTCAAAATCTTGTGTAGGAATAGTAATTAATTCCATTCTTCTGGACAGCAAATTTCCTCTGTATCACAGCTTTCATACCTGATGGTGCTGCCTTAAACCCAGGAGGGGGGATTCTAGAGCTCAGTCACTCTAAGTAGTCACCCTGACCTATGGAGACTTGTATGTATTATACTGTACCACAACATCTACTAAATGTATCCAAAAACGTAATACCTGTTCTAACTCAGAGCAAGGAAAACATTGAAGATATTGTAATTCTCTTAAGGGAGAGTTTTAATTAGGGTCCCTGACACTGCAGGTTATATACAGTAAACAACAGTTCATGTTTGCTTGGAGTTGTTAGTCCCTGAGGCACTAGGTATCCAAGGCCTGAGGTTTAGCCACACACGTGTAAAACTGAAGGAACAAAATTGAAATAAAATAGCAACAAAATAAATACCCTCAGCTAAAAATGTAACTTTTCCTTCAAAAGCTGTGCTGTACCTGTTGTGGAAATCTAGAATGTTTGCCAGGAAGACAGACACACATTTTTCTAATTCACCCAATTTCTCTTATAAAAAAACAATTCGGTCTCTGTTTTGCCTCTCTGACACTCCATTTCTCCGTGTGTGCTGGTTGTAAATAAACGTGGTCACTGAGGGTGTGTAAAACCCACTTTTTCTTTTACCATGGCATACTGTCAGAGGAGCTATGGAAAAGGCTTTATTTTTTAGGTAATTTAAAGCAAAAATAACACTCATGGAATTAAGACCATATCCACAGCAACTAAATTAAATCACATTGCTTGTAATAGTTTGCTTGGACATGTCATCGTTATTATCTTTCTGGCAGAATAATAACACACAAATTGTTATCAGGTGGTGTATCACAGGACTTGGAATAAAGGAAATACGATGGAATAGTATGATAATTGCTTTAAGGGAGAAATGGTATCTTTGAGCATGGTTGATCCATTAGTTTAATTTGTATTTTTTTCTGACCAGGAATTCTTGATGAACTGGCAATACAAGCAGTGCCTGTCTCGGAAAAGGGCAAATTTACATGTTTATGAGAACAGCTATTCACAGCATCTAAATTAGCTGCAGCACAGCAAATCTCTGTAATTCTAATGGCAGAAAGTCACTGTTGCTGCAAAAATCTGGAAAGAGTGATCCAGAAAATTCTTCTGCTTTAGGACAGAATGCATCTGGAAGGAAACAAAGTTTTGCTGGGAGGTACTGTTAGAGAAGTACACACATACCAATAAACAAATCTAGGGGAAAAAATAAAAATAACTGTCCAAAGTTTTCCTTCTTAAATGTATGAAACTAGCAAGATGTATGTGTTAATTCTTGCATTTTAGCACTTTAATTAAAAATTAACTTGCTTTATCACACATTTTCATAGGGAGATATACTGTACAGTACTCTATATTTAATGTAAGGACGACAATATGTAACTGCATATCAGAAGCATACATACAGTTTTAAATATGCCCTTTTAAGATTTTTTACATGGGTTTTCCTTGTATTTTCTATCAGTCAGGTTTCTTATGTAGTTTTTGGATCAGTATCCTTGCAAAAGGGCTTCCTTTTTTATTATTTTCTTCACTAATTTACAAAGAAACATTAGTTACTGCTACGGTTTTGCACTATTAACAGGTAATGTGTAGTGCCATAAAAAAACTTGTCTTAATAATGCTCAAGAATGTTTATTTCAATGTAAAAAATGGCATACTGTACATAACAATAATCAGTTAGGAAAGTTTTGTATGCTTTGACAGTAAAATATCACAACAGCTCAAATTCTACAGAATAAAAAATGTTCTGTGTATGCTTACAATTATACTGGCTCTGACAGAAGCCATTTTAAGCTGTCTTTATCAGACTCAAGTTATACAAAATATATTTATTTGCAGTAATTTCAATAGCAGTGCTTAAATTAAAATTTGATACTTCACATACACATGATAATACATTCACATAGGAATGTACATAGTTACAATATGTCACTTATACAACATAATACATATACCCATTGATACATACTGGTGCTGAAGAAATTAATAAGCTCTGTACATACATTAGAATATAAACAGAGCCCAATTTTGAATTGAGAGCACAGTGTATCACCATCATTTTCTGAAAGAAAGGAAACAATTTTGATATTTAAACATTTAAAAAGAGCTACAGTTGCATCTTGTTAGTGTCAAATGACAGAGGTCATCATTTTTTTCATTCAGAAAAAAGGGTTCCTTTTTTGCTGACATTTCAAAATTGAGCCTGGCACCTTTTAAGCATCAAATTATTTATACACAGTTGATTCTTAACACTGAGCAGCAATGATAGCTATCATTAATAGCTGTTCTATTGTACAATACATCCAACAATGTTTTTTCTTATTTCTTGATTTAACAAAAAATATTAATTTAATGACATTCATGATTGGCTTCAGTATGCATGATTTTATACATGGGTCATATTGCTGCCTTTCTGATCAAATGCTGGCATTATATATAGATACTTTTTTCCCCACTGTGTCACTAATATTTAATGAAGTCCTCTTCATTTATACATCATCCTACGCTGTATTACGCCACACTAGATTTTAGACCTAAGTGTGTTTTACGTCAACATAAAGAAATCTTTTAGACCCTCAGTTCAGTTCTTTGAGTCCTGCTTATTTTTTACTATAGATTTAAAATTCACTAGCATCTTACAAAAAATGGTGTGCATGTACACATTGAAACAAACTTAGAAATGCCTGCTTTAAAATTGAAATGGGTATCCTTTACACATAGTGGAATCATCTGTTTTCCCATAGAACCTTTAAGTTGTTGGCAGAATTAACAGCCTTCTCCATCAGTCTCATATAATAGACAAGCTACTTAATACCATATTGTGTTCACGTCACATTTTGTGCTTGATATTAATACTCATAAAACTGGCAATTAATAATTAAGCAACCCTGAAATGTATTGCACATTTTCCAAAGACATTTTAAGAGCACAAGAATCTGAGAGGACATTGGCAAGGCTGAGGGACAAGAATTTCAAAGATATTTTAGCAGCAAAAGTTGTATTCTCTAGTGAGAACAGTGCCAAAAATACCAACGGTTAGACTTATCTGAAACCTTTCAAATTTACAGAGTCACATATGTAAATTAAAAAAGAAACAAAAAATATCCTAAAAATACTTTTTGCCCTATTGCCAATTCAAGCAATTTTCATATGGTACACTATGAGGAAGTTGTTTAATACAAACCTTAACTTTAAAATTAACAGAGCATTATTGTCCCACTCTTACTTCATATTGTTAGTTGCTCTTAATTTCAGTCTTTACGACAGGTTCTCTCAAATACTGAACACATTTTTAAATGAAGCAATGAAGATACCTCCAAACCACTGCTGATTTTGCATCAGTTATATTATTTTCCTTTTGAAGGCGGCTCATTTTAATATGGCATGGCTCTGTACATTATTAATATCGATTGTTCTTGAATTTTCCATTATTTCTGAACACAAAATAAACTGTCAAACACGACTCATATATCGGTGTCATGTTTGTTTTAGCAAAACCATGCACCTTTCGAACCTTGTAGGCTCATAATAAACACACAAAAAAAGTTAAATCCAGCAAGTCGCAGAAGAAGTGAACATCAATAACTTTTTTTAAAGACTTTTACAACAGTGGTCATCATACTTGAAAATTAAATGGATCTGATCATGTGATCCTGGTGCTTTCTCAATAATTCAAAGTTTTGCTCTTCCCAGACCCGAGGAACTAACATCTCAGGTGCTTCTTACTTGACATATCATTCCAGATCCTGTGCATTTCTTCTGGAGATATCTGATGCACTGTGATAACTCTCCGGTATCGGCAGAGGCTATAAGCCATTTTCCAGTGATTGAAGCCACTGTTCTGAAAAGGGTGGATACCAAGTTTCCTTAAACACAAGCCAACATACACATCCTCCAAGTGCAGCAGCCTAGTGTGGAGAGATGTCTTGTAAATAAGTTCTGCTACATCTGCAGAAAACACATAGCCTGTCCCTGAGCAGAATGGCGGGTACTTGCTGTCAGGGTATAAATCTCTGGGCATGTACCACTTACTGCGTACATCTCTTATAGGCCCTCCATTGATGACATAGCCTGTGAAGTACCTCCTCCTTGGCTTTGTTGTCGGCTTTAAAAGCTTGTAGACCAGATTATCCATATTTACAAAAATGTCACTGTCTGTCTTCATTACATATTTTGCCTTTGAGCAAAAGGTGGCCACCCATCTCATGCCCATCAAGGTTTTGAGGGTGAGATTATGGTAGGAGTCAATGAAGTCTTCAACCACAATGTCATGGAAAATCTGGCTTTCCTGCTCCACCATCTGATTTAAAACAGAGTCCGTGTTTTTGCCCAGGAGAAATAGAGTGACAATCCTGATACCGTTGAAGTTGTTTTCGTCTCCCCATGTTTCCCGAATGGCCTGCCTCGCGTCAAACTCCTTGTGCGTTGTGCTGATGAGGATGACCAGGAAAGGGACATTGGTTTCACATTTTTTAGGCTCGTTGATAAGGAAATCAAATGAATGTGGATTCAAGGGGCGAGTCCGGATGTTGTTAAATGTCACGTTTTTGCTTTTTGCTACTTGTCTCTGAGGTACTGACGCTTGGCCAACATATGAGGATGATGGGCGAGAGACACTTAAGTACCAGAGAGCACTTGCCCAGCAAACTACTGTCAAAACATATAAGCAAGAGACCTTTGAAGGCATTATGTTACATTTACTTATATTTAGTGTACTGAACCTTGAGTGGCTTATTTCCCATTAGTGGTACTATTTCAAATTGGGCAGCATTATGCTGCTTAGTTGTATCACTTGACATTAATGGTCAATAATGGATTGCTTCAATTTCCAGCAGCCAGATCTTCTTTTGACAAGAGCGTCATATTTATTTTTTTAAAGCAAAACGTGCTTAGGAAATATGTCGTTCCCCCGTTTCTCCACTTCGCAGTCCTCCTGCCTCTCCATTTAAAGCTGCAAGAAAAGGAAAAGTAACAAACATGAATGCTTTTGAAATTCTGTGTTTATGAACTGTTCACATGTATGTGCCACCGCTTAACTATGGACTGCTTGCATTTCATCCATGCTTTTTACCCAAAGGATCCCAAAGAGATTTGCATGTAGGGGAAGAGCTTCATACGCTACTGAGCTGCAGCCCTCCCATGAGAGATATGCAGCAGAACCTTATGCACCAGCAGCCACACAACACTGCAGATCAGGTGGAGAAGTGAGATAATACTTCACCAATCATTTTCAAAGGGAAATAAAGGGAGGCAAGATTGTGAAAGCCCCAAATGGAATTTTGTACAGTGGACGTAAGACTTGTACTTTAACAAACAGTCTAATGAGATCTTTCATTATGTCACGGGACCCTGACTGGGCCTCTCATCCAAAGGACAGCATGGCCTATGGCACAGCATCTTCTTGTCAGGGGCGAGCAAGAGCTGGTAATCAGTCCCGCATATACACGCTATTAGAACACACTCAGGCAGACTTTCACAGGGGCCAGCCAAATAATCTATTTTTTTACTTATTATTTCTCTATTAGTTCCATTTTCCTTTAAATACTGCCACTGCCCTTCACTCAGTAGTTTCCTTACGGTTTTCTTTTTTCTCTACTTTTATGCGCTAACTTAATTATTCCAGCACTTTCCTTGTTCTTTGCCACTACTGCTCTGCAGCCCTGAGTGTTGGATTTATTTTTGTGTCTTTCTTTTGTTTTTGGCTCCTCTGTTTTCTGTTGTTACGGTGTTCCCCACCTCGCTGTTGCCTCGTAGCATCATTACACTTCTGCAACACAGTGTCACCAGTCACTGTGGTGAGGTATTGGTCAGTACATTGTTTTCAGAGAAAATAGTGCCACCTACTGGTCTACCACCACCATGTACTGTACCTACTTGGTTTCCTTAGAAGTGCTCCATCTCTGTACTGATCAGTCTACAATGTGGTAACGCTGCTGTCATTCATCACTTGCATTCATAAAAAAACACAGAGCAATGAAGAAATTCAGTTGACATGGGCTAAAATAAATGAAATTGAAATGATGTGGTACTCCCTACACAGTGTATGCAAGGATGAGCTTCTGTCAGATTCTTTTAAATATAGGAGGTTTAGTTGTCAGAACAATTAGAGTGACCGGTTGCATGCCAATTCGTTTTGTCATAATAACATCGTGGAAACATGACAAAATTAGCCCCTTAATCCTCAAATGGTATCAAATCTTATCATTATTATAATTTCTAAATGAAGTAAAAACAATGATAGTTAACACATACTGTACCCATGTTCAGCACAACATCAACATAGCTTTGTTAGGACAGCTACAGGGATATCAGTTTGAATGAAAAATTACTGGAGCACTTGATTGAGTTCCCAGAAATTGTTATAATTTGAGACCTAAAGCTATTGTTAAGAGGGCCACTAGTTTAGAATGGCTAACTGGCAGACATCCAAATGATTTTCATTTCAAAGAGTCAGCTTACTGAAAGGATCAGGTAAAGTAAACTGGGGGTAAAGATAATTCTAATGTAACATTCTGACAACTCAGAGAATGCTAAATGGAAAAAATATATAGGCTTTCACACACACTCTCCAGAAATGTGAAATAAAGCTGTTCTAAAGCTCTAGAAATCGGAATGGGTGAATATGGATTCTGAGAAGCCATATTTTAATCTTGTCACTGCATAACAGCTAAGAGGATTAAGATATGTGAACCTGAAACAACAGTATAGATCAAAATCTGATCCAAATCTCTATTATCTCTATTAATCTTTATTAAGTAAACACTATTGTATAGAGAATTAATAGCTTTTCAGAAATCTCTAACAATTGTCCTGTAAAATAATTATATTCATAGATGCTAAAACAATGAATAGCACAGTGTAGAAAGTCAACTCTCACGTGACAAGGTAATCTTCACCTATCCATAATGCACTGGGTAGAAAAAAGACATAAAACTCAAAAATCAATTTCCTCATTCTGAACTCCAAAACATAATGGAAATGTACAGCAAAAAGTGCTGTTAACCTTTGAAAGAGCACAAAAATGAAAAGGTAACAGCTTGGCAAGGTGCCATAAACTGAAATTTCATAAGGCTAAGATTTGCCACATTCAGGCTTTGTGTAGTTCATTTTTTGTCTTGCAAAACAAGTACATTATGATAGAGTATGTTGATGTGATGCACAAATGCTCTATATTTTTCTCAATGTATCAATTTAAAGCTGCATCAAGTATGACATTTACATCTCATAAAAATAACTGACAAAATTCTGCAGTATTTGTCATGGTTGGATGTACCATTTATAGTTTCAATAAAATGTACACTGGGATGAATTCTTGTGTTCTTTTTTATCATGTTATTAAAAATGCATGCTACATCCAGCTGGATATTCAATAATATATTGGAAGATGCCATTTCCATATTTTGTTAGATGCCCATGTATGAGTTATATGGAAATGTTATGTTATTATGCAAATGTGAATTATATGAGTAGAGCATATTTTTCCCTTTGGCTATTAAAACGAATCAGTATTTTCATGAAAGGCTTTTAGACAGTTTAAAAACATTTCGTACAAGTATGTAAAAAGAAATCTTAAATCTTCAGGGTTTCTTATTCTAGCTGCATTGGAAATGGTTTAACTCTGACAATTGAGTAATTTTCATTGAAAAAACTGCATAGAGTAAAAATACTAAAGCAAGCCACAAAAAGCAAGACAGATTCTAGCGGGAGGAGACACTTATCAATGTACAATGTGCAGAATGGGAAACACTTGCAAACAACAGTTCTGGTTCTTATTTGTTAAGATTTCAGAAGAAATGATGGGATTGTAGGATCCACAGAGGTTTTTAAGACCCATGCTTGATATCAATACTTGTAATACTGTACAGTTTTACATGTTTTATATCTTTTGTTTTATTTACTTAAAATTATGAAGCTAATTAGGTATTGAAACTGTACAGTCTAAAAGTCTTTAAGGTATTAGAAGAGATTGATACTCCATCCATCCATTTTCTAAGCACTTCAGGGTTGCAGGGGAGCTGGAGCCCTTTGTAAGCAACAAGTGCAAGGCAGGATACACCCCAGACAGGACACCAGTCCATTGCAGGGCACACAGGCAGAGACATACACTCACTTACAGTAGGTCCCCATTACCTGTAAAGCGCTTTGAGTGGAGTGTCCAGAAAAGCGCTATATAGGTTTAAGCAATGATTATTATTAATTACTTGCACCATGGCCAAGTTTTACAAAAGCCAATTAACCTACCAAATATGTCTTTGGACTGTGGAGCACCCAGAGGATATCTGCACAGGAAAACATACTGTACAAACCCCATGCAGATAGCACCCCTGGTCCAGAATTGAGCCCAGAGCCCCAGCACTGCAAGGCAGCAAAGATAACCATAGTGCTGGCTAAAAAAATACATTCACCTCAAAAGAGAAGCAGCCATATATTAAATTCTCCATTCTGGATAGGACCTAGCTCTACTAAACCTTAATATTATTTCTGCTCCTGTCATCTTGGTGTCCTACTCTATCTTGGTTGAAACACTTCTAAAATGTCTGGGCAGTTTTAAAACTTCCCGACAGATTTTGAGATTCAATTTATAGTAGGGTTCCCCTTAGATACTGTTAATTTCAAATTTGGTTCTGTATTATGGAATTAATCTTTGGAGTTCAGTAGAAAGATTGACAAAGTCTCAGGAGAGACTTTGTTCTGTTTTTCATAATCACTAACTCCTTACAAGTGATTATGTCTTCAGTTTGAAGCAATAATTGAATTCTCATTCTACCAAATGTGCTCAGTCTACGTCTGGGCCAGGACTTGCACTTCCAATATGATCCCCAGTATCTGGCTCTTTTTTTTTTACTTACATATCCGTTCTATGCTGTCCCCCGAGGAACAAGTTTGACTGTACTGTAGGTTTAACTACACACATGGGTTAAAACAGTCTGCTGGACATTTGGGAAAAAATGAAGGGAATGGCATATTTTTGTTTCAGGGCTTTTATAAACTCTTATTAGATTAATATATGACTCACCATCTGAAAATAGTTCTTGTATTCTACCAGTGAGGAAAATCTTTGGAATCAAATAGATTTGCCTTCCAGAACCCTAACCCAAAGCCCCAATTGGACAATTTGCTTAAATTTTCTTCACAGGGTGTATTTGGCTCCTCATAGACACTATCACATAAGATAAGTTCACCTTATTGGCCATATACAGTACAATTTCTTGTATTGTATTTGTCTTTTTTCGTATATCCCAACTTGCTTTCCATGAGACACACAGACAAGGAGAGAAGCTTGGGGTCAGAGCAAACGGTCAGCCATTTATAAAGCACCCCTGGAGCAGGGTCCTTGCTCAGGGTCCCAACAGAGTAGAATTCCTCTGCCAGCCGCGGGATACGAACCGGCAACCTTCCAGCCACAGTTTCCTAGCCACAGAGCCGCCCCATCACATGAAATTTGTTCCTAATCCTACAGTATGTGTACGCTTTGTTCAGAGAGCACTGTGGGTATATTTTCACACAAGTTTTGTGTTTCTCTGTGTGGTTAAAGAAACATTATTCCACTTTTTTCTCCAGTATTCTAAACCAAAATATTCCTCACTGTCATCTGGTACTGTTAAATGCTTAATCCAGTCCTGGCCTCTCCAGGCTGTGGAAATGGATCTGGTTGGCTGGTTTCAAAGCAGATAAAAAGACTGGAGGTCTCCCCATTCCCTGTCTTTGCATCATTGAATGCTTCTGAAAGTATTTAATGTATATGTACTGTAGCTCTCTTCTGTTAACATCCATGGAGCCCAGGGGTTGATGAAGGCATGGAGGATTAACGTCGATGTGGTCAAATCCTAATTTTTCAGCACTTCTATAATAACTATTTGACTTTATTTAAGTCAACAAGTGCAAGACAGGATATGCCCTGGACAGTACATGTGTTCTTTAGTAGAAAACTCTGGTGGGGGAGTAGGGGGG